TAACGCTCAGTTGCTCGTTAAATCAAATGAACTAAATTACATTTTTCGCTTTTCATTATAATTTAATCGCTCCTCTGACGCCAGCGAAGCTGGATCCCTAATAAGGAAATAGAAAATTATTTCTGGAAGTATAGCGGAAAAAATATTTTTACCTGTACTTTTTGTGATCGCCTGTGTGTGTGTGTGTGCGTGCGTACGTGTAACTGTGCGCGTGTGTATGTATGAGTGGATGTGTATCAAACATGTATGCATGTGTATGTCTGTGTATGTCTGACTGTGTATCTGTGTATACGAATGTGTGTAGTACCCAAGTGAGATGTCTGAGAGGGTATGTGAAATGTACAGTACGTAGAGGATCATTGCTGAACCAGGGCTGTTTGCCCCCGCATAAAATTATTTTGTCTGGGTATAGATTTTTTTTTTTTATAAATTCTTAAAAGAACTCACGGATGATGAATTTTTTAAAAGTTGGACAAAAAATACTGGTTTTTTAATAAAATTTTATTGAAAACACTGCGAGCAAGAAAAATTGAAAATCATTTTCCAAAAAATCATCCAGGCTACTGTGGCTCTTTGGTACAACACATACAACATGAAAATTTTTGCATGGCAGCTATGGAAGTGCGGTAACGCGAATGTTAATTACGATTATTATGACGATAATGACGATGATGACGACTGCCACAATGATGATATTGGTGAATGAAATAAATATGACAATAAATAAAATGTAATAATAAATATTTTAATAAAAATTATGGTGATGGTATTTATGGTTAGGCTTTAGTTGCCAAATTATCAATGGATGTTTTCTATAGTACTGCATAAAAGAAAATAAAGAACTCTTTAATAGGATCCATAAAAACGCGGTATAACTACCTCTAACTCTCTCTCTCTCTCTCTCTCTCTTTCTCTCTCTTTCTCTTTCTCTCTCTCTCACACACACACACACACAGATACACACACACAGATACTCCATGTTGCATGCATAGATATATATACACACAGATACACAGACACACACAAATACTGTACGTTGCACAGATACACATACAGATACAGATACACACACAGATACACACACACACACACACACACACACACACACACACACACACACACACAGATACTTCATGTTGCATAATTGAAGTAGGCAATTCATTTGCATAATTATATTTGTTTGTACACCGCATCCCATTTCACCACATTTTCACCCTTCGTGAAGGAAGTTTAGTAAAAAAATTCGTTTAAAAAATAAAAGACGAACAATGAAAAAAAAACACAAACGAATGAACATACAAACAAACAAACAAACGAACGAGCGAACGAATGAACAAACAAACAAATGTACGAATAAACGGTTGATAAAACAAACAAACCAACAAACAAACCGACCAACATTGCGTCTGTTGAATTAATGCTAGTACTTGTTGTTATTGTAACAGTAATAGAAAAAAGTGAGAAGAGAGAGAAAGAGAGAGAGAGAGAGAGAAAGAGAAAGAGAGAGAGAGTAGACGACAAAAGTAACGACATTGATAATCTGTTGTTGCTCAATGAATTATTTGCACTCATTAATTAGGCTATTTGTATGCGCTGACCTGTTGGCTTGTTGTTCGTTTTGTGTCTGATTTTGTGTTGCTATTTTTTGATCATGTTGTTGTTGTTGTTGTGTGATTACTGCTATTAATATTATTATTGTTATTCTTTGGTTGTTGTTTTAATGGTGATGTAAAATTCATATAATGGTGGTACTAAAATAATGATGTCACAAAATATGGTGATGTCATAAGGATGGGTGATAAAAGATATTTTCGACAACGAAGAAAATGCACCCATCTCAAAATGTAGTTGTTATTATAATTATTATTGTTGTTGTTGTTGTTATCGTTGTTGTTGTTCACACACAGTTGTTGTTGTTATCGTTATTGTTGTAGTTGTTGTTGATGTTGTTGTTATTGTTGATGATGTTGTTGTTGTTGTTGATGCTGCTATTTATAGTTTAGTTGCAAATTTCAATGTTTATTTATCTTCAGAGTTTATAATGTCTTAACTCTCTCCAAATTCTGTTTACATAGCGTTACATGATGTTGTCTCTCTCTATACATTTTGTTTAGATAGTGTTATTTACATTTCAACATCTTTCGTTTTTTGTTTTCACAGTTTTAATTTAAGTTTTTAGCTTTTATTTTAGTTTTTATGCCCATCAAGTCATATCTTCGAGTCTCCTAGCTTTTTTGCTGAATGAACTAACTCATTATTGAATTGAATTTTAAGATATGTTTGTGTGTGTGTGTGTGTATGTGTGTGTGTATGTTTCATATATTCTATAATATTGTACCGTTAGTTATAGTACCCTCAGAGTACATCATCATCATCATTAACAACAACAAATCATTATCATCATCAACAATAACAACAATAACATCATCATCATCATCATCATCAACAGCAACAACAACAATAACATCAACATCGTCGTTATCATCAACAACAATAATCAACAACAATAACTTCATCATCATCATCATCTTCTTCTTCTTTTTCTTCTTCTTCTTCTTCAAGAACATCGTCACCATTACACGAGAGCCATGTTGGATGTAACGTTGATTTATGAAAAGTAAATAAAAGCTGACTTGTTCGGCTGTTGTGTGGTTTTGTGAAATTGTCATCCAACGTTAAATCGTCTACTGTTGAGATTTCCCGCCAAAATATTTTTTTTTCATTTGTCCATGTTTATAATGTTGTTGTTTATGTCTATAATGTTGTCGTTTATGTTTATAATGTTGTTGTTTATGTTTATAATGTTGTTGTTTATGTTTATATATTATAGTTGTTGTTTATGTAGATGTTGATTTATATTTACAGCGTTGCTGTTGCTGTTGCTGATATTCTGTAG